GTGATGGGATCAGAGTATCAGTCAGGCCTCTGTGCCATCAGACCGCACTCTAGTGTCGCCTCTATGCCCCTGAGCCACGTTAGTCACACCCAATTGGATGTACCTTGTCTCAGAGCTGGGCTGACTGCTCAGTCCTGTGAATGTTACTCTGTAAATCTCCAACTGAACGGGTCCAAAGCAAAGCTCCTGGTCTCCCCCGAACCTGCTTCCCCTGTAGTCTTCCCCTGTTTCAGCTCTTGGACTAAAGACCTTTGGGGTCATTGTCAACTCCTCTCTTATGTTCACGTCCCACACTCAGTCTGTCTGCATATCCTGTAGCTGTACATTAAAAATACATCCCGAATCCGCTCACTTCTTACTACACTACCCCAGTGTCACCACCCTGATCAACACCACCAAGATCCCTGCTGGGTTTATGGCAATGACATCCAGAAATGTCTCCCCGCTTCTTCCCTCCCCTTCTACACAGCGGCTCAAATTTCAAAGTCAGATCATGTCCTCTGCTCCTTTCAGACAAAACACTGAGGAGCTCACAGTGGCCTGCACGTTCTTATGTGCTTTGTTTCTCTTTACCTCATTGCACTGCTGACTTTTCCTATTCTTTTCCTTTTAATACTGTTCTCTCCCACTGGCTTCCTTGCTGTTCCTTTTGCTTACAATACATTTCCAGTTGTCACTTGGATCCTCCCTTACCTCCATCTTCAAGTCTTTGCTGAAACGTGATTTCTTAATGAGATCACCTTAAATATCCTATTTGATTCTACGGCCTGTTACCTCTTTAGGCCCTGACTTTCCAATCCCCCTTACATGGCTGCTTTTTTTTTTTTTTCCTCAGAAAATATATACTTCCTGTCACAGGTTGGGTGTCTTGGGAAACATTCTGATGCGGACTTTTTCTGGCAGAAAGTTCACTGAGGAAGGCTCTCAGATCAAGACCTGTGGGGAGTGGAGGAAGCAGTACTGGGCAGAGGGAAGAGTTGAAGTGTGATGTAGTCACGACAAAGGCCTCAGCCAGCCACAAGGGCAGCCATGAGCTGGACCGACTTTCAGAGTTGCGCTGCATTATGGAGAGGGGGCTTGGGGTCTTAAGAACCTGGATGTGGGCTGCTCCTTGGGCAGGGGAGTGACCTCAGGTGGAGCAGTTGTCCTCCAAGGAGACAACTCCGGAGAGGGGTCGGTTGAATGCCATGGGCCATCAGCGCTTCCAGGAGTCAGGGGAAGGAGTACCTCAGTTTGGAAGTGAGAGCTGGGTGCCATATCTCAGCACTGCCTCTCTTCCCTTACAGCAACGAGCAAATGCCAATGTATTGTATTTGCCTGCTCTCCATCTCTCCTGCTAGACAAGGAGACTCATGAGGGAAAGTCTCTGTGGACAAAGCTTCCTGATGTTTCTTGAGTGCCTGGGCGAGTAGACTCTTCATCAGTACTCGCTGGATGAATGAGTGGACCTACCCATTTCTCCATGTCTCCCTTCTCTCCATCGTCAGCCTTGTCGGACTCCCAATCCCAGTTTTGCCACTGACAAGTTGTGCAGTCGTGGAAAAGTTGTTTAACTTTTGACCCTTTGCTTCTTCACCTGTACAATGAGGTAGCAGAGGTACCCATCTTAGAGTCTGGGGAGGATTCAAGAGCTATCCTTGTAAAGCACTTGACAGGCACCCGGGGAAAAGAAAACTGGTCCTCAGTACTGTTGATAGTATTATCGTCTTGGGCTCTCTTTGTTTTGGGTTGCTTCTAGGATTCTTATCGGAATTAAAGACAAAGCCTACACTCTAGCTGGGGTACCTTGGCCTTCCAGATGTACAGGGAGAGGTAGCCTACAGAAGCCTGACCTGCAGGGGTCAGTTGTTGGCTAATCAGGCTAGAGATCTGCTCACAAGCCTGTTGCTGTGATTCTTGCCTTGGGAAATCTCAGTGTATTCCTGTGTGCGTCTATGTGTCTGTGCACGTGTTTGTGTGGAGAAAATGCAAGCTATACTCAAACTGTATGTTCCTAAAGGATAACTTACCCTAAACACTAGGTCTGTATAAGAAGTCAACCATCTGTGGGACCTAGAGAGGTCAAGAGGGTCACCTTGCTTTCTGTTCGCTCTTTTCCTCTTACATGAGCTTCTCTTCCACTGATGCCCTGAATGAACTTATTTCTCAATCTCCAGCAACTTCCTTGTCAAATCCAGTGAATGGATGCATACTTGAGTTTGGCAACAGTTCAGGTTACCACTCTTCATCTGGAGTTTCCTAATATTGGGAATAATGTATGCTGTGGTTTTGTCCCTAGGTTTCCTCTCAGAGGGACTCATTGAGGCCTTCAATTCTTGCAGCCCGTGAAAGGATTAGTGGCCCACAATATCCAGTAGTCTGTTCCCGTGAACTTCCTTCGGCCAAACAGAACTGCCTCTTGCAAGGGTCCACTTCCTGGAATTAAGTGATTACTTTTGCCTTATTTGGGGACACTTCTAACAGGGCCAAACCCGCTTTAGAACTTCCCACAGGATTAAGATCTCTGTTACAAATGCATCCAGGTTCAATTTCTCCCTCTGCCCAGTACAGCTTTGCTTTCTCTTTTACGAATGTTGTTCCTGAGATCACTATGCAGTAAGTCCTCTGCATGCAAATCTCCATCTTTGATCTATTTCTAGGGAACCTGACCCACTACTACAGTTGGTGCTAAGAGTGGTTCCTAGGAAACAGACTCTAAAATGGGATTTTGGAGCTGGATTATCCACGGGCCTGTTGGTAATGAGAGCTGTCACTGGGGATGTGGGTGGAGGTACTAATGGCCCCTGACTTGCTCTAGAAGTGCAACTGTTAGAACTTTCTTTTCACTGCCTTGAAGTGGGGTAGGATACCAGTGGGGAGGAAGGTACTGTGAGTGTAGCCTCTCAAACATATAGAGGTTTAGAGGAAGTAGTAATTATAAAGACAATGGAATTAAGTGATTGTTGCTGGGGGCAGTCAGTGGATTGGAAAAAAGACAACGAAAGGCAAAGGGTGATCATTCACCACTTTAAGGTGAATCCCGAAAGCCAGAGGGCTTCCTTGTCATTAGTAAAGAGACTTTCTCCTATAGCTGGAAGGCAGAAAAAACCGGGATTTGGCCCAGTAGTGAATATAAGGGTAGCAGATTTTCAAGAAAAATCGAATTCTCATTGTTGCAAGTCAGATGTGCTTTGATTGTTCAGGGCTTGACTGGGGACCCTGACACTTGGGACAGGGATGTTTGGATTGATTACCTTGAATACCTTGAAACCCTAGGTCACCCTGACCCTCAGAGGCAGCAGAATGTCTTTTGCCCTCCTGTGAGAAGCTAGAGGTTTCTCAAATTTAAAGATGAGACAAAGGCTTCTACCTCAGAAGATGCCAGGCAGTGGGTGCCCCCCCACCTGTGGCACATCCATCTTCCTGCCCCAGGGTTGTCTCCCAGTCCACTTCCAGCCGTGAGGTCAATAACTCGGGTAAGTTGCAAGATAACCTGGTTGCCAAGGGAAGTCGTCACTGTAGGACACAGCCAGGAGTGAACTTTATTTCTTGCAGCATTGATAGGCTCTCTGCCTCTAGTCTTACTTTGCAGGTCCATCTTGCGCATCATTGTCAGAGGAATCTTTTAAAACAGATATCAGTCTCTGCCTTGCTTAGAACACTTCAGTAGCTCCCTGTTGCCTCAGGATAAAATCTACTTTTCTTGGCTGGGTGTTGCTTCATCTCTTGCCTCATTTTCTGTGTGTGCTTTTCCTGTTTGCCATCACCTTTGCTTTTCCTGTTTCCTTTGCCTGGAAACTCTCTTCCCTTCTTCACCTTGCCAGCCGCTTCTCTGTCTCAGTTGAGGTGCCATGGGCTCACCCCCACATGGGGACGTTGTGTTCTCTTGCCTGGCCCCTCTTCAGGGCACATCTATCCTCAGTTACCAAGAATGCCAGCTGCCAAGGGCTCACAGCCGCATCCTCCATGGGGACTGTCTGCAGCTGCAGGCACGACCTTCCCTAAAGTGACGACCTGTCCCCAGCTAATGACGGCCAGGGAGAGGGTTTCAAGGCTGGTCCTCTTGCTTCACCTGGCTTCAACCCCAGGCTTCCTTCTCAGCTTCAGCGCCTCTCACAGGACTGTCCGAAGCCTGAGTTACAATCACAGCACTGGTCTCATTTTAGCTTCCTCATTTCTTCGTTAAAGGTTTTTTCATTAACATGTAATAATTGTACATATTTATGGGATATAGTAGAACATTTTAACACAGGGATATCCTGTGTGCCAGTTCAACCAGGGGAATTAGTATTTCCATCACCTTAGCGTTTCTTTGAGCTTGGGGTGCTTCAGCATCTCTCTTCCTGTTCTTGGTAAAATATGTAATGTTACTGTAAACTACAGTCCCGCGCTGTGCTGTGAAACCCCAGGACTTGTTCCTTCAGTCTAACTATGTTTTGGTATTGGTATCCATCCTCCACCTCTCCACCCTATCCCTACTCTTCTAAGCCTCTGGTAATCATGAAATCACGATCCTAATTTTGATTAATTTTGTTTCTAGCTTTCTCACTTATTTATAACTGTGTAGCGCTCTCCACAACACCTCTCCTGTCCCGATATAATCCATGCAACTCTGCTTCAAAGACTGTTTCCAGAGAATCCAAGCTAAAGACACCCGCCCCCTAATCTGGTACTGGGGATTGAACCCAAGACCTTTGAGCTGAACCACATCCCCAGTTCTTTAAAAATGTTTGTTTTGTTTTGTTTTGACACATCGTTTTGCTATATCAATGAATTGCCCAGGTTGAGCTGGAACTTGTGATCCTCCTGCCTCAGTCTCGCAGAGTGAGGGGATTAACAGATGTGTGCCACCCCAACTGGCTTACACATTTTTGGGTGTTCTCAGATATTCCTTCCTTGGGTTTTCTCAGGACCATGCATACGTATCTGATCATGCACGTTTTCCAGTTATGTGTTGCTGTCTAACAAGCCATTCTTATGCTCAGTGACTTTAACGATTGATTTTTCTTTATATTTTATAGGTTGGTTGGCCCCAACGGGGCAGTTCTGCACCATCTGGTGGAGTATAGGTCACTCATGCGGCTGCCCTCAACTGGGAGCTACCTGCAGCTGCAACACTTGAGATGGCCACTCGCCCTCCAGAGCTTCTGCCCACCCGGCCTCTGACCATTCAGTCTTCTGGCTTTGACTTCCTCATGTCATGGCAGTCGGGCTCCAAGAAGACAGAAGTGGAAGTGGTCCTTCCCTTTACGGCTTGGACTTCACTTCCGCCAGACACTGTTGGTCAGAGCAGATCACAGGCCTAATGATCCAAGGGGAGGGGGACTAGGCTGTCTGTATCTGTTTCTAGGGATGAAGGGGAGAGCTCGATGACCATTGGACGCTGTCTGTCTCCCACAGTATGTGGCAGTCATGCAGTGAGCTCCTGGAGGGGAAGGATCCAGCTACCTCTACTCTCTCCAAGCCCAGGCTGTCAGAGATTTCACGGTACAGTGTGAACTCCAGCCCCAGTATTCCTCATACTAGAACGTTGGGCTGAGAGAAGGGTAGAGAGGTGGTGGAGTCAAGCCCAAGCTGTCAGCTGCCTCTGTTGGGACTCTTGAATGTCAAGTTAGTGCATCTAAATGCTGTCTGGAAGTCTTTTTCTGGGCATAGGTTATGCTCCCTGGGGCATGATGGGCACATTTCATTGAGCCACATGGTTACACAGAGCCGTGGATCCAAACACAGACTTAATAATTAAAGCCTGTCTCTTCTCTCTCTTGTCATTGTACATTTAGAGCATGTGGAAGTCATTAGTGTTGTTTGTCAAATATTTCTGGCTGTGCACCTGCTGAACACATGGCAGGATTGCACTTCTTGGCCCTCTTGTGGTTGGGTGCAGCCTTGTGATGAATTCTGGCCAATGAGTTGTGAATGGAAGTGACTTGTGCCTTTTATGGGCATTTAGTGGCTTGGTGAAGCCTCCGGAGCTCTCTTTCCCTCTGCTTTTGTGCTGGCCGTGTTGGAGATGGTATCTGCTCCACTGAGCCAATGAAGACACGAGAAGCAGAGCCTCCCTCATTCAACCCATGATGTGCAAATGGCAAGTGAGCAATAATCTTTTTGTTTGGTTTTGTTTTAAGCCACTAATTTTAAGGAGTGGTTTATTATGGTAGCTTGACCTCATCTTTCCCGTCTGATACAAGGGTCTTGGCTTAACCCAGGCTGAGCTCATCTTGGTAACCAGTGGATCCAGAGTGGCATAGGGGTGGGCGTGGAGGAAAGTGTGTACCTTTGGAAAGAAGAGGTTGCAGTAAATGTTAAGGTGAGGATTCTACACACAGGCCACACAATATAAGCAACTCATATATTAACGCATTGAGAGTTACAAAAGCTTAGTATTGAAATGGAAAGGACTAAATATTCAGAGAAGTGGGAGTATTAAAAAAAATTCCTGCCCCTTCCTGCTATGTGTAATTTGCCTCCTTGTGAGGGTCCCCTCATTCACTGCTGGGGATTTGAGTAGTTGTCTTAAAGGCAAGTGATTTGAATGCCCAGGCATTTGCATATGGGCTTTCCTTCTGTTGCTTTCTTTATTCTAGCTCAGTGGCGCTCTAACTTTAGTGTGCCTAAAAATTTCTTTCATGGCTGTATAAACAAACCCATGGATACTGTACTTTGTGACTGGTTTCAGGGTTTTTCAAGGGTACTTTTGACGACATGCAATTCTTGTCCTAGGCACAGACTTCCAATCTACCCCCGATGTATGATGAGATTCCATTGTTCCAACCAAAAGAACCTTGCAATTTTTATGAGATGCTGAGAGCTCAAGATGTCGGTGGCAGCTCCTCTTAGCCCATTATCCACCTATCGCCCGAGTCCTTTCGGTCTTACACCCACAGTATAAGCCTCCATCGTCTTTTTCCTGGATTCCCACGAAGGGCTCCCAACTCATCGTTTTGCTTCTGTTCCTCTTCCCCCAGTCCATTGTCCACATCACAGCCAAAGTGAGCCCTTCCAGACACCAATCTGGGCATGTTGCTTCCCCAGTGTAAATCCCGTCAGTCCTCCTTCCCTGGATTGCTCTTACTGGGAAGACCAGTACTGTACCGTATCTCTGAGGCCTCAGGGCTTGGCTTCACCTGCCTCTCCAGCCTCGTGTCGTGCAGACTCTCCTTTGGCCTCTCTCGTCTCTGCTGACCTTTCGCTTCCACCAACATGTTCATGTCCCTATCCCCCACTCAGCGCCCTGGCACCTGTTGTAGCGTCTGCTGGGAGCGTTCTCCGCCTGCCCTTCTCTCTTTGCCTGGTTAACTCCTACTCATGCTTCAGATGTCAGTTCAAATGTTGCATCTTCAGAGAAGCATTTAAGCCAGCTTATTCTTTATTTGCTCTCATAGAATGTGTTGCTTTCCTTCAGAATATTTATGCCAGTTTGTAATTATACACTAATTTGTTTGATTATCTGATGAACACTTGTTTCTTCCACTAGAATGTAAGCCCTAGGAGAGCAGGGGCCGTGACTTCCTTGTTACTCTTGTATTCTCAGCACACGCAGCGTAGGTTTGCTGCATGAATGATGGGATGGTACAGGTAGTGGTTCAGTGGCGGTGACAGTTGCGGCTGCACCTGATAACAGCAATGGCATATCCATTTCTCTCTGTTTGGAGCTATTGTTTGTTCTAAATTTTACCTTGAGCTTCTGTGGCCTGGGAAATAAAAAAATTATTGCCAGATACAAAAACAAAACCCTAGGGGCTGGGGATTTAGCTCATTGTTTCCTCCGCCTGCCTTCTGCCTCGCAGAGGCGAGATCCCGAGTTTGATCCCCGGTACCAAAACAAAACAAAAACAAAACCCTGGAATTAGACAAGACTCAGGGTGTTAGAGAGGTTGAATTGGGCCCAGAACCTGGCCTCCAGATTCTAGTCGTAGAGTTCTTCCTCAGAACCCATACCACTTTCTAGTCTGTGCTTTGACAAACAGATGTCCCCTGAAGGCTCCTGTGTGAATTATTTGTGGGGAAAGGTACCACCTCTTACCTCTCTTCTTTTGTTCCTTTTCAGCTTTTTCTTCTTTATCCTCTGATTTAAAAAAATTTTTGATATAAGAAGAGCATAGCGGCGGGGAGTCTACGGCTCTACCCCCCTGAATGCACCCAATCTCGTCTGATCGCGGATGCTAAGCAGGGTCGGGCCTGGTTTGTACTTGGATAGGAAGAAGAGCATAGGGGAGACTTTAAAAAGTCTTGATGAGGGAACAAGAAGAAACTGAGCTGAGCACAGCCTTGCTGTGCCTGTGGAGTCAGTGAAGTCCCATAGGTGTTATGAAGGTAGAAGAGCTCAGACTTAGGGAAGTGGATTGATATCAGATTACTTTTGTCTTAGGGCTTTCTGATCATACCTCTGTGGGTAAGGGAGTCAGACTTAGAAAGGAATGACATTCCCACGAGTTTCAATAGTTCTGGGGAGAGGTTCATCCTGGGACAGTGAGGTATGAGGTAAAACCAGCCTTAGGAGAAACTTTCTTCTGTTTCTTAGAGAGTTGGATCAATTTTTTCCGGATTCTAAGACATGGAGGTAATAGAGCATTAAGTTAGTTAATGTTAGGGCAGCTGTTTTAACTGAAAAGCCTTTAACATCTCAGTAGCTTAACAGAATAAATACTTATTTCTGGCTTCCAAAATAAAGGTCCTGATAAGGAATAGCTTTTTTTCCAAGTGGCAGCTAGGGGACCGGGCTCCTTTCATTTTGTGGTGTCCTCAGCATTAAGATGTGAATCTCAAGGTCACCATACAAGTAGGGAGAGGAACTTGGGTCAGATCTCAGCATGGCGTTAGCAGGGAGATCCAGATCCTGCTCTAGGAAGGATCAGCTTATCACTGAAAGAGCTGCATGAATTGCCAATATGTACCAGTAGGAACCAAGAGGCACCTGTAGAAGCAGATGCTGAAGGTTTTGAATTTGTGTAGGGCTGAGGTGGGAACGTAAGCCTGGAGCAGGGGCTTATTGAAGCCAGTGCTAATGTGCTTGCTGCTAGAATATATCCACGGAGCGTGGGGCTGCAGTAAATTAGAGGGTGATGCTGGAATTGCCTTGGGAGAGTATTAGGGAAGGGATCAGAGGATTTAAAGCTTCAACTTGAGACTATGACAAAAGCTGACAGTGTCTTCTATCAGGGTCCAGAGGACACTGCCTTCACTACAGCGGCAGGAATTCACTAGTGCAGGTTGTGCAGCACTACCAAGGAACTCGGTAGTGGGTGTCTTCTAGAGCCAAGGGTTGATGGTAAGAGAAGCTGCCATGGAATTAGATTCTCTGAAGAAAATGGGAATGATGGGCTTCTGTAATAGCAGAGGGCAGGAGCAAGCAGGTAACTGAAGAGAACATAGACTCACCACATAAAACAGTAGAACCAAGTGTCACATAAGAGCCTTATCCCAAAGGTTGTGTTGATAGCTAAGGAGTTAGACATATAGGCAGCCAACAAGGGACAAATCAAGGTTTACAGCAGCTCCCATAACAGAAAATAAGGAATCTTTATCCATTTTGCAGTTCTGAGCCACTTTTCAAACCTAGAGTCCATTTACTGAAGGGAAGGCCAAGTCCCTTTAAGGAAAGACTTGACCATGCCAATTTGATATATAGAATAAACATTTCTCCAACTGTCCCCCAAAGAGATCTATTTTATCAAGCAGCTGTATATTTAGAAAAGAGGGAACTAACTAGAAGAACTCTGAGGGCTGCTGGACAGAAGGTCTGGATTGGGAAATCAAATGCCACAGTAACCCCCATATTAACATTGGGGCCTATTAAAGCTAGGTGGTAAAGGAGCCCTGGCTTAATTCTGTCTTGTAGTGGGTCTAAGAGATCCCCCACACTGATTCTTTGTTTTCTTTTTCTTTTCTAGATTCTGAATATACAATTAGAATAATAATTAGTAGTTGCCAAAACCTTCACATTGATTTCCTTGACTATTATGGTAAGAAGCCCAAGTGTTCCCCTTTCAAAATGTTATCTCTTTGACTAAGATATTAAGTCCAAATCCATGCCATATCTTAGCTGGCTTTGTGGAAATTAGTGCCAGCATCAAAGTTGAAAGATTTTAGGGTTTTCTCCCATCACACTCCCATACAATTCATTGGTTGGGTTCCCAAAAAATCCAGATTGTTCTA